TGTGCATTTAAAGAAGGGGAGGGGGTCAAGCATACGGAAAACATGCCTTATTAGAATCAACCTTGTGTGGTCATCACAGTGCCTTTTCAAAAAATCTGTACAGGATATTAAAGGTCTTTCCTTAATCTATCATGTGGCTTACCTAAATAATTCCTTATGATGTACATGATTTTTTAAAAGAATATTTAAAATTATAACTTTTCAAGAGCTAAAATATGCTATATTTTGGCAAAATTGCCAATAAAAGATCTGCCCCCATATCTCTAAAACTAATGATCCAAAATAAGAAAGCCAGTGGCTCACAATATCTTTTATGTTGATGGTTTACCACACCAAAAATTATTAAAATCTGCTGACCCCCACCTTGCCGCCTTCTGACTGATCTGTCTGGCTTTCTCATGGACGCGCTCTTAAGAATTCAAAAAGATATTTTTTTACCTAGAAATAAAGTTATTTCTAAATCGTCCTGATGAATTGTGAACGAGACTTGAAACCTAAATCAGACCTTCTGATTTTGAATCAAATTAAGACATTTTTTTTGCTTTGATTTCCACTTATTTGACACATCAAATATTGTAAACCATATGATGAAAATTCTTGACCTTCTTTTAAATTATTTGTTATTATCTTACTATTATATGTTCTTTTTAGTATTGTGATTTTTCTCAAGTTTGATGATGTAATATGCTAGAATTGAGAATAGCGTGCTTGTGCTTCATGTGCTTATGTAGATTGACCGAACAATGTACCATCTATGAGAGATTGCATGATTGGTTCCTTGTCAAATAATAGTTGCTTGCTGCCCCCGCTCTGGAAATTAATTTATATACTTTTTTCCTAATATTGAATTTTACGTGCATAGTTTTTGCTGCTAATTGCATCATAACACAATATGTAAAATGCTAAGAAATAACAGTTACTTAAACAACTCAACATTTCTGTACTGTTTACTAGTCTAAGAGTGTTATGCTTTTCATGATTTTTAACAAAAAAGAACACAGGATATAACTGAAACACTAAGTCCTGTTTCCTCCCAGAGTTAGAAAAGGGTTTTTAACAAAGATATTTATTTAATATAAAGATATATCATCATCATTAACTGTTACATTGTGTAATAACAGGCCAACTGGGAAGATAAAGAAGATGCTTTCTTCAACATCAGCTGGATGATGAAAATCCTAGAAAAAATGAGGACCACAGTGAGTCTTTTTATTCATTTATAATAATAATTATTATATTTAAGTAGGTTGAGACATAACCTGCAGTCCATGTTTAAGTGAAACCCCTTTTTCAAAATTTCATTACCTTTAAACAATTTAAGTAATTTATCAAATTATATTATATTATATTAAATATGTGGTTTAATAATCTATTTTCTATATTTATTTATCCTAACTATTTTTGAAGGACCCTTTTAACTGAAGTCAAAATTTCACATTGTTCATTTTGCTACTTCAGTATAATACAGTACTGTAATGGAAGGGGGGGGGGGATAAGAAAGAGGTATTATTTTGTTCTTTTCAAGACTACCAGTGTGACAATTCTTTTTGTTCAATATGGAGCTTTTTTCATCAATTTTAGGAAAAGTTTATTGAGAGGGTGACCACCTCCGCACTTCATTATATTGCACCTTCAAAGCGAGTGGAGCTGACACCACAGGAAGCGGTGCTGGTGTTCCAGCAGTTCTATGTGCTGCAAACATTTATCAAATACAACGAACCCATTGCCACTTACATCAGAAATAACTACACAGAGGAATTCAAGTGAGTCAAATTCTCTAACATCGCATTTCAAACAGATTGTGCATTGATTTAAAAAAATTTGTTTTCTTGTATTGAAAAAAGGCTGTGTTACACTCAGATTTCAGCTCTGTCTCATTATAATATTGGCTTATTCCCCAGAGCCCCTAATTTATTATTTTGATTCACAATCTGAACAACACTTTCAATTTTTCTTTCATTCCTTCATACTGTTAGTACATCCTTTGGTGAAATATTTTTTTCATTGTCTTGCGTAAAGATATTATAAAATATATAGTAAATGTAGCATGGCTCATAGGAAAAAAAAACAAGCTTAGTCCCTATAGAAATACAACATATTTCTTATCCCCATTCTTGACTTTGCAGGTATTTTGTCCAAGCACCAGTTATAGCAGAGAAGCTACCCAAACACTACCCCATCACTGAGTGGGCTGTGAGCCTCATAGAACAGGTGACATCACATGTCTTAGAAAAGAAGGTCAGATTGCAGTAGTTGAGATATTCATACAGTCATTTGTAGAAGCCAGATTGTTGTTGTTGAGACTTGAAAGTACAGCCATTTGATAGAGAAGTCAAACTGCAGTTGTTGAAGCAGTGCACTCCAAAAAAATACACACCGACAGTGTCATCAGGGAAGAACATGGCAGTAATATGGAGTTAGCCAAACCATAGAACACAAACAATCTTTTTGTAGAGCATTTAAACTAACTAATGGACACTGCCTGTATTAGCTGAGCCTGAGAATAATTGAGAGAGAACAATATATGGGATCAGAATGGAGTAGTGAGACCAGGCACATTCCACTAAAACGGTGAAATAATCGATGTGAAAATGCAACCGTTTCAGTTGAGGTAAGGGGAATTATTATTTGAGAGAAGATTTTAAAGAATTTGCTTGTAAATCTGTTCACTGTTAGTAACTATAAGCTATGCATTTACGAGTAAATCATGATATAAAATTTAGTACTGCTATGTGTGCACCAAACAATAAATAAGGGGTTGTGAATGAAATATATACAATATTGAATACTTTATACAAAGCTATGGGTTGGATTTTTCCCAGATATATTGAATTCACTCTTCATTTTTTGCTTCATACACCAGAAGTATGTTTACATTGGTTGTGACATTTTTTTTATAAACTCCATATACTTTTTTCAATTTTCTTCTCTTGGTTGTGCTAGTCATGACTGTGATTCTCAACTATAAAGGAATTATAGACTTAACCCTTAAATGTACCATGCTTACAACATTAGTTTAAGTTTTACTCTATTTGTTAATAGTTTTATTACATCTGTTTTAGCATCAGACAAATTGTTAATAATATCAAGTACCTGAGGAAATTCAGTTGTCTGGTAGTGAATCTATTGGAGTTTGATGTTTGATTGTGTTGTAGACAGAATTAGGTTTTTGTTTTGCCGATGTTATTTTCATCTGACATAAATTGCCATGCTGTCATCACATTGCCATAGTTGTGACATGTTACGATCCTTAGAAATATTGAAAATTGAAACTTCATGGAAATATATCTAATAATTAGTAACTGTGTATGACATGATTTAACCACCAAGATGAAAAGCCCTAGTTACTTTTATACACCATGTGGAAATATTCGTTTTTCAGGGTTATTGAGTATGTAATGGAGCATACTATCCCTATGATCTTTAAATCCGTCCTGCATTTGATTTCAATTTCATTTAATTTAGATACTAGACCAAATATCCTATAAGGTCAAGTTACATCCACAAACATATCTTTATTTAGTATTAAGTTTATTATGTTGCTTCAGTTTTGTGCTGAAACTCAAAATAACTTTTTGTGTAGCATTAGTTTCATGTATTTGTATATAAATCATTTAATCATTGTTAATTGCTTTTACATCAATATGTTGATGACCGATGTAGTATTGAAAGACATTGATTTTATCCTTTTACCTGTAATCTTGGATATATATATATATATATATATATATATATATATATATATATATATATATATATATATATAAACCAACATTTACTTTCTTTATCATCAGTGATCATTTCATACCTTGTTAAGAGCTTCTTATAGAATTTTTTATTTACTGTTAAGTTAATGGTTGCATTTTTAAAAGCACCTTTTTTACATTGTAAAATACTTTTACCAAATACAAATACATGTACCATATGAAAGTATATAATAGAGTACATGGCATTGCCTTGTATTTTTGTTATAATTTTTGTTTTTTCTTGTATTATAATTTGTTACAGCAAGTTTAAGTTTATATATAATGCTAAAAGGGCTGGTAAAATGGTCAAACACACTTTTATGGGAGTCAACCGAGATAGTCTAAAGTCCAAGCACAAAATCAAACGAGATTTTGTGGCATTTGGTAGAGAGTAGGTTTAGATACTACGTTGGGCTAGTGATTGTCAGGTGCTACAATGAACAAAAGGTGATAGACTTTACCTACATCATATTAATCTGGATGTTTTTTCAAATTATCTGTCGAATTACAGTCTGTTGCACAACAGTTCAAATTCACCGCGTTTTGGGTGTTGCTTTTGTACTGCTTTCTAAATGACATTCCCGGTGCATAGTATTTCACCTTTATTACTGAAAAGTGAACCCAACTTAGCACAGATTCCAGAATGCTTTCTAGTACCATAGAACATCATGCAGTGTTGTAGCCTTCTTTTAGGCTGTCTTGGATGATCCTCATGTTAACACATTTTTTCTCGGTATCATATATTTATATAGATATCATATTAAATAAAAATGAATCCATGTGATTCTGTAGTAATTTAATCCAAAGTTTAAATCATCATAGCAAAAAAACTAACATTGTTACCTACTAGTATCATTTTTAGTATGGATATGGATGCAGTAGTGTCAACTGTGGATGTAAAAAAATTGAGAAAAATCTTTCACACTAAAATATTATGAGGACATTACCTTAAGTATAATTTTGTGTATTGAATGTAATACAATTAGTTCTATATATATATATATATATACATTATACGGAAAGTTAACTCAGATCTGTTTGTATGTACTAATGAATACAATTGGTAACCATTATATTATGTGCTTTGCAGTCTAGTCCTGTGAAGAAAAAAAAAAGCTACAAATGCAGCTGTGATAATGTACATAGCTTATATTGCTGTCTCAATTATTACACCGTGATTGATCTGACCCATCCAATTTATTGATTTTGTTTGGTGTGACACCCTGCTGAACATTAGCTGTGTTTAAAGTGACTCTTCAAGGTTAATTGTGTTAGTTGAGATACTGCAGATTGTGATAGTTGAGATGCTGCAGAACATTTGTTGCATTACGTGTGACAGACTGCTGAATTTGAATTGGAATGTTCACACAAAGTAAAAGAAACGGTAGAACCAAAAGATAAGTTTCATTTATATATATATATATATACATTATACGGAAAGTTAACTCAGATCTGTTTGTATGTACTAATGAATACAATTAGTAACCATTATATTATGTGCTTTGCAGTCTAGTCCTGTGAAGAAAAAAAAAGCTACAAATGCAGCTGTGATAATGTACATAGCTTATATTGCTGTCTCAATTATTACACCGTGATTGATCTGACCCATCCAATTTATTGATTTTGTTTGGTGTGACACCCTGCTGAACATTAGCTGTGTTTAAAGTGACTCTTCAAGGTTAATTGTGTTAGTTGAGATACTGCAGATTGTGATAGTTGAGATGCTGCAGAACATTTGTTGCATTACGTGTGACAGACTGCTGAATTTGAATTGGAATGTTCACACAAAGTAAAAGAAACGGTAGAACCAAAAGATAAGTTTCATTTTTTTTTATATTTAGACAGCAGAGTTGTGTAAAGCATGCTAAAAACTGATGTATTTGATACTGACACATTTTACTGAGATTTAATAGTCAAGTCCGTTATATATGAGTATGTCCAATTTCTTTATCTAAATTCAGCTTCCTGTAATGAAGTTAATGTACTGATGGTTGTGTTATGATTCAGACAAGCTGAGCTAGCTGAACATGAAGTGTATTTTTTGTTTAATAAATGTAACCAGATGATATTTAGCCCTCGTTAGTTATCTCATTTGTGAAAGTGTCTGAAATGAACAATGATACAGGAATCCTGGTACATGCGAGAAACAGCAAGAGTGGCTACATGTAGGAGATAATACACTAACTCTGGGTTTAGTTTTCTCAACATGTGCTGCAGTACAAGTCTGATGCATCATTTATCAGAATATATACGTATATGACTTGATGTTTTTTTTATGAAGGTAGACCCATGTGGTATTCTGCAGTTGATATATTAAACAGATCCCTTAACAGCAAGGTCAACAGCAATTTTTGGATGTTAGGAATATCAAACTAACATAATGCTCCAGGTCCATGAGTTCAATTAACACTTTGAAAATGCCAGTTTGAGAAAAATTAAAATTCCACATAAAATTGCAAAAATTCAAGAAATAGAAATTAACATTCAAGATAATTTTTCCAGCTGAATATCAATAGTAAGAATCATTTTACTATAAGTTACAAAATAATAAGTTAAGCACAAAAGAATTTTTTTGGTCAATTTTAATGCAATATAACATAATGCTTAACAGCATAAACATCACCAATATTCTATAATATAACAAAAATATTTAGAGAAAATTCAGGAAATGTGACCAACAGTTCTGTAAATAAGAAGACAAAAGGTAAAATGGTTTTCAACAGATCATGTTTTACTTCTCTGTGTCTGTACATAAAAAGGTCAGTCAAGTCAATGTGATGAATGTTTTAGGCAATAAATTGACTGCTTTCTGTCAGAATAAAAATGGCTACTCTGACCACAGTTGTTACACATGTGGATGGCTTCAAAACAGAACAAATGGCAATGGCAGCACAAGTTGGGACTAAACTAAATGGCCTAAAATACATCCAGATTACTGTTGCCCTTGACTGACTGGAACAGAAAGACTCAGTCACAGCCCAAAAATGTGAGCTGTTTCAGAGAGTGCTCCTCCCAAATGTGTCCTCCATGTTTTAATGCAACATTCTTAATAGGACTTATGAGTCTCTACTGAAAAGATTGAGTGTTTTTTATTTTATTTTATTAATTCTAATTATATATATATATATATATATATATATATATATATATATATATATAATTAGAATAAATAAATAAAAAAAAACACTACACATGTATCAACCCCAACTCTGAGTTTCATGGGCATACCCAAAAGTTATGCCTGATCGTCAGGTGTTTATTTGAAAATTATTTATAATAAATATATATGTTGACATTATAATGCACCTTCACAAGTGCTTTACATGTTAGTGCTTCTAAAAGCTTTTTCCCCTCTGACCAGTGAAAATTAAAATTGTTTGAGAAACAAGTAATTTTAAAAAAAGCACTTGCCTTACACCAGTCTCCTATAAGTACACACACAAAGAAGGAAAAGGTTACCCTCCGTTATTTTACTAACAATTAGACACAATTTGATACAATCCTAGCATGAATTAATTTAAATGAATTAAATATTTAGATATCCCATATCATAATTCATAACAAGGCAGCAAAACTGTCAAATGTACAGACAAAAAGCAGAAAATAATGATGCACAAAATAGATTATCATGTCAATTTTGATGCAATATTGCATATTGTTTTAATGCTAAAACAACAACAAACTAAACCAAAATTTAATTATGCACAACGGATAACATCGATATTTAGAATCTGTAATTAGGATAAAGCTTCAGGCCCATGACAGTTCAGTGAAGACTGAAAATGCCAGAATGAGAAAAATGAAAAAAATTCACAAATATTTGCATAAATTCAAGAAAAAATAAACAAATTAATAACCAAACAAGCTTGTTTTCCAATTTTTGAGTTTTCGAGTTATATGTCTATCACAAGAATCATTCTTGTAAATTACAATATAATTTAAAACACAGTGCCCTAAATGAGTTTTCTTCAATTTTGGTTCAATATTACATAATGCTTGTGTCTGTAAGTAAAAGAGCTTTCGTTGTCACTTGAGACAGACTAAGGCGACTGACAGATGTTCTTGTATAACAGATGAGCAATGGTCTTGCCCACATCACCAGTGTGAATAGGTTCCCCCGGAATCTTAAGCATTGATCCACAAAGATAATGGACTCCGTCACATCTTCCATCAATATGCTGATTTGTAATATGAAAAACATCAAAAATATCCACACCTAGTTTAACCATATCCTTTTTTATCATGTCAGTAGCTGCAGCTTTTGAAAATCGATTGGATGTTCCTTGCACATGTCCCCCAGCAGGGATGGTGACAAAATAAATTTTGATGTTGTTAGTATTTGGGTTCGATCTCAAGCTTTTCAGATAGTCCGTGAACTCTTTGGTTTCCTTATATAGCCGTGAAGGTCCATCATTTTGTTTTGATAAAGTCCATAAACCATAGCCTATCACAATAACATCAGAATTAGACCATTGCTGTTTAGATGACAGGTACTTTTTCAAATTTTTTTCAGCATCATGTGGATACCCACCCCATATAGCTCCAATGCTGTCTTCAAAATGATAAAGTCCCTTTTTCAAATGTTGAGATATAAAAGTTTTCTTGCTTCCAAGCAACTCTAAAAGGTAAAAAGCTGCATATCGCATGTGAGAATCACCAACAAAAGCTATGCTGGCTTTCTTTCTTTTACATTCAGTCAGTTCCTTGGTTGTCATAAAGTGGAAGAGACAGTCATCCTCCGTAAACCACAGCCATGTTCCATTCTGTTTTATCCATTTGCCATTCCTGTATTCTATCGCAGTTTTCTGTTCACATATCTCTTTTCTAATTTTTGTCTTTTCTTTAGATTTACCTGGAGTAGGACATAACTCAATCGGCTTGAATGTTTTCGCAATTTTTCCAGGGTTATTCTGCAAAAAGCCATGCCTTCTATAGGCCTCAAAATCAACATACTCCAAAGTTACTTTTACTTGAACACACTTGATGCC